TCATCAAAATCGCTGCAGCTGTTTTGGAGTCCATAGGAAACATACTATGCACACATCGATTTTTATTTTATTTAATCAACAATTTAAATTTTTTTATTACTCGGAAAAGGGAGACTTTTATGAAAATTTGGTGACACACCGACTGCAGCGCCACCTACCGGATCCATTTGTGAATTGAAACTTTGCAGGGACCCACTCGAACATACACAAAAAATATCATTAAAATCGTCCCTGCCGTTTAGATGATCAGTGGCACAACGACTGCAGCGCCACCTACCGGAATCAATTGTGTTTTCAAACCATCCAGGAGCCCATTTAAATATATGATAGGGTGCGATCGAGAGAGTTGCAAGTCTTATAGGATGCTAATAACTTCTATACGTCTATTCTTCTAAACGTACGGACCTAGTTTTTCATTATATCTACAACATTTCAATTTGGGGGGTTGCTTTTTATATGAAAATTTACAGCTTTACAATCCTCTTATGAGAATTGTGAAGTGCTGATTCGCGGCGCGAGGTTTTAAAAAAAATGCTATCTGATTATCTGATCGTTGGTCTTATCGGAATGTATCGTACCGCTCGCTTTGCCAAGCCGTATGATGCGATAAAGAGATAAAATGTGTAGGTAGGTATATCTAAGTAATTGTTAAAAATCTCATCCTTATCATTATTTGATTGTTTATTTATGCTATCTGTACTTAAATATTTTTATCTTAAAAAAGGATTAACTTTGTCTGATAACAATGGTATCAAATGTAATGCCACGCCGCGTTTCAAACATTCTACTTTAGCCTACCTAAACCCATTATTGATAGAACTGCAAGTGGAAAAACCAAGTTCGAAAAATCTGTCAAGTTAGAGCCGCGTACCGAGGGTTCCGCACTACAGAATATATTTACTATATATTTTTAGTTCATCGGATTATCCATAAATAAATAGGTAGGTAGGTAGGTATATTGAGTAGCACATGAAACTTGTTGCGCGTGCCGGATTCACACTTGGCCAGGCCAAAAGGTATATGATGGTTTTATAAAAAACTCTAACGAAATATTGCGCTCGTATATATCGAATTTGCGTAATTTTGCTCACTATTTTAAAAGCTGTAATCAAATAATGGGCTAGAAGTGTATAATTATATGTGACGCTTTTACTTTTCATGAGTTCTTTATCACGGTTAATAAAATTAAAATCACTTGATATCTATGTTTAATTAAATGCAGAATAAATGTTGCAATATTTAACATATTTTAGTTTCCATATGTACTTATTTATAAAACTAACTGCCTCGGTGGTGTAGTGGCTAGCATGTACGGCTGCACACCCAGAGGTCCTGGGTTCGAGTCCCGGGTCGGGCCAAGTTTAGTTATTGAGTCTTCCTGTATAGTAACAGCCCTGTATAGTCTCAGTAACAGCCCGGAGTTGGGAAGTTGGCGGTGTTTCACCCCCGTGCCTTGGAGAGCACGTAAAGCCGTCGGTCCTGCGCCTTAACTCTCACCGGTCGTGTCGAGTGGTCGTCCCACCGGAGTATGAGAGTGATAGGAATAGAGAGTGCACTTGTGTCTGCGCGTACACTTGAGCACTATAATATCTCCTGCGCAGTTGGCTAATCTCATTGAGATTGGCCGCTGTGGCCGGAATCGGCTAGGAGAACCTCATTTATAAAACTAAATAATGTGACGGTCGGTTCGTGGATCAATGATATCTATTATTTATTCGAGCTATCTGTATAATATCTGTTTAAATGTATAAATGTGAAAATTTTTGTTACTCTTTCACGCCAGAACGGCTGAACGGATCTGGATGAAATTTGGCACAGAGATAGATTATAGTCTGGAATAATACATAGGCCATATTTTAACCCGGAAATATATACGGTTCCCGAGGAATAGATTTGTTTTTGTTTTTCTAGAGGCGAACCCGAGCGAACTGAGAGTGAGCCGCTGATAATATATAAAATTAAAAATAGCCAAAACATAGATCGATTTAGCGCTGTACAATTACTTTGTATGATTATAAAGATGCGTTCAAAAAAACAAAATATACTTATATCTAATATTTTCACTCAATAATCATTATAAATCAAGCTCTTCATTTCTTAGCTTTCATTGTATATATTAGTATAGGTAGATTACAATAATTTTACTATCAAAAGTCTTACTTATGTTTCGATAAACAACAATCATTATGACAACGTGATAAAGATATTTTTACGAATTTACTACACTTGCACTACACTTGCAGATAAAGAATGCAGAGAAGTATTAGTTTATGACCGCCTGATTGATCTAGTGCCTTACATGTACGGTCTACGGTTACAGATCGAGAGGTCTTGGGTTCTCGATCTCGAGCCAAAGTCGTTAGCTCAGTAACGAAGTTCTGTTACGAAATAGTCAGAACCAGGAGCAACCCAGATTTGGATATTTAGCGATATATACCCTCTTGGCTCTTCGAATTTTACGGGCTCGAAGGAGCCCAGTTCTTTAGAAGGCTAGCGTAATGACACAGTTTCGTTTTAACATGTATTTTATTAATGCATCATATTAATATTTAAATTAATATTTTTTGTAATTACTTTGCAAATATTTTGTCATTTGTGTAAATAGGGATTTGCATATTGTGTGCTGTATAAATACTTTTCATAAGTTCTGATAAGATAAATTCTTTACCAGTCGCTTAGTTTTTTTAAATTTTGTGAGTTACATCATGTTATTATTAGAAAGTTAAACAAATAAACAATAGGAAAAACACAATAATTACGTTCTAAACACAAACAACACATACGCTATTATTAAATTTAACTGCCTCGGTGGTGTAGTGGCTAGCATGTACGGCTGCACACTCGGAGGTACTGGGTTCGAGTCCCAGGTCGGGCCAAGTTTAGTTATTGAGTCTTTCTGTATTGTAAGTCTCAGGAACAGCCCGGAGTTGGAAAGTTGGCGGTGTTGCACCCCCGTGCCTCGGAGAGCACGTAAAGCCGTCGGTCCTGCGCCTTAACTCTCACTGGTCGTGTAGAGCAGTCGTCCCACCGGAGTATGAGAGTTACAGGAATAGAGAGTGCACTTGTGTCTGCGCGTACACTTGTGCACTATAATATCTCTTGCGCAGTTGGGTAGTCTCAATGAGATAGGCCGCCGTGGCCGGAATCGGTCAGGAGAACATCATCATTAAATTTAAAAGTAGCAATATCGCAAAATATGTGTAAGAAGCGAAAATATTTCCGTAGGCAACACCTCCAGGTAAATTTCTAAGAAATTAATTAAATTTCTAAGAAATCTATTGTTAACTGTAACGCCGGCGTGTCCACGGTCGTTGAGGGATAAGCAGTAGGTAGTAGGTACTAACTGACTAGTGGAAAAGAAGATTTTAATTTATTCCTACAATTTATTTAATTTAATAACTCTCACGTCCATAACTTTCAACTAAGTCTATTTTTTCCGTCTAGTATGCAGATTTAAAAAGGCCATGACAGACGTACATTCAAATAGACGGACACTAGGCTGCTGTGGTAGAACATTGGAAGTAGGAAAAATCGATTTTAAACTTCTATTCTTATACCTCTAACATATTTATGGGCAAATCTCATTTTTAACCGACTTCCAAAAACGAGGAGGTTCTCAATTCATCGGAATCTTTTTTTTTTTCTTGTTTTTTATGTATGTTAACCGATTACTAGAAGACGCCTGAACCGATTTGGATTTTTTTTTTGTTTCAAAGGGTATACTTCCCAGGTAGTCCCATATAAATTTTATCGAAATCGGTGGAGCGGTTTTTTAAAAAATCAACAATAAATATATTTTTTAAATAAATTGCTTAAACGAATATGTTATTAAAAACTTTCTTCTTACAAATTACCTACTTATTATGTCTACACTAAAAATGGAAAAATAAAAACTTTTTAACAAAAAATAAAAACCGCCTTCCAGGCACTAAAATGTAAAAACATGAACGAATTGTCTCTAATTCGTCCATGTGTAAAAAATAACTAAACGGAGGTTTTCATTTAGAATAGATACCTAATCAGATATTTTCGAAGTTAAGTTATGGTTTAATTTATCCCGTGAGATCGGAGGCTGATTTTCGACATTCTAGATACCTACTTACATCAAAGTGGTATTCAGAAAAGAAAATCGTAGATAAAAAGTAGATGTAAACTTCGGTTCTCGGCGTGCTAACTGTAACCACTGCTTTCGACGTTTAAAACCTTTAGGAACGTGTATAAACAATTTTTCAGGATATTTAACGGTCGTATTATCACTTTGCAATTCTTTGAAATATCAAATACACAAGAATTAAAAAAAAGCAAGTAGTCAATTATATTGTTGGACGAGTGTCCGAGTATTTGGCAGATAAATAGTCAATTTGTCATCCATCATAGACACTTCGAATTTTTATTAAGCGACCTTCATTTTATTTGTCATCCATAGCCAAGGACAACAAGAATCCATGGCTACCTTAAGTAGGTACCTCTAGCATAGAGCGAAACTCCGCGTGGCTAAAAATGATTTTTTTATTTAAATAAAAAATATAAATTACACCAAGTCGGAATAATTATAAATTTGACGTGTTAACTAGCTACTGTAATGCCATCTAGTAGTATACATACATGTAAATATATAGTTAAGCTTAATGAAAATGTCAAAAAAAGTTACATGACTGATTGCGAGAAAACTCCAGCCCTAACCCAAGCTCAGGCCCTAGCCAGTAGATTCAGTCTATATTATTCTTTTTGTCTGAGGTTTTGATAAATCAAACATTTTTTGTTGGATAGTGGTGGACCTTGGAACTTCGCGTGAAAATCTCTATTGAGCGTCGATTGTATTAATTCAAATGTTTTCATTTAAGCTTATCATCCTTAATATTTTAAAATGTTTTAGTCGCGTATTAGATGTTTTGATAACACAACAAAGTACTTACTTATTTAATATGAAATAATAAAGCTTCTAAAAAAAAATATTTTTTATTAATTCACGCTTTTAGTTTTTAAATACAATAAAATCATTTATTTATAGACACTGTACGTACGATCCAATCAGTAAAATAGGATAATTTTGTATACACTCCAGGATAGTCCTTAAGACCACATTTATACCCGAAGGAAACTAGGCCGACTACAACGCCTTTATAAATAAGAGGACCTCCTGAATCTCCAAAGCATCCATCAACGCCATCAATATCTGTTCGACCAGCACACAACATAGAGTCTGTAATGATTGCACCAATAGCTTGGTATTGTGCTCTGCATACTTCTTGATTAATTATTAACATCATTGTGTATTGAAGTTGGTCTGGCTGTGGACCGTTAATCTGCAAAAGCGTAAATTACTTGGTACTAATTACTTGGTTAAATGCGAGTCGGGCACACGCGTGGTGATTTTACAGGCTTAAAAGAAGTATTTCTATTATATTTTTCTGCTTGTTCTCGAATGATTCTTTTTGTATATAGTGTTATAATATTTTGTATAACTTTTAAGCTATGGACTTTAGAGTTACTTATACAAAATATATAATATTACACATATTAGAACTATATACTAGGTATATATTTTTTTGTTTCTATAACTTTACTTAATTCTATATCAATCTATCTATAGTTATACAGATATTATGTAACAGATGGACAAACAGAGTGGTATTGGAAAGGCTCAAAATTAAATTCCGAGTAAAAGTAAATGGACCCGGTTTTTTTAAATACCGGAAACGGTTTTTTAAAAAACGGTTTATTTCGGTAACGTAATGGTTACTTCATCGCTTCTTTTTAACCGGTTAATGAAAACAAACGGTTTAGTAAACCGAAGTAATAATGGTTAACGGTTATTCTTAGAGAAAGGTTGGATTTCGGCTTTGATACCGAAATAAACTTTTTAATTCATTCATAAGTAAGAAACGTGACTGCATCCTTCTACTAAGCTATTCACCATTAGTAAAGACGCACCAAATGTAAACACACAAAAATTCATTTTAACCAGTTAATTTTGTTCATGGAACCTAAATTCATCAAAAACCGTTCTCCCGGATTTAACCGGTTAAAGAACGTAACCAAAACCTTAAACCGAAAACCTTTCGGTTTGGGATCAATGACCAAAACTGGTTAACAAATTGAACGGGTTTCCGACTTCCGAGTCCTGATTCTAGAATTAGTTGGTACATATATTAATACCAACAAATAATGCATTGGCATTATATAGTTAGGTACGTTGTGTGTGTTGGGAAGAGCGACCCAATACTTTTATTAATTTAATAGCATTGGATATTTCAAAATTTAACGGCCTAGGAAAATATAATACGAGTATATAGGAAAAAAATTTAACAAAACATTTTATTACATTATTCAAAAAATATTTAATACTAGCTTGATAGAAATCCTTGCAAATAAGCACACTATATGGAAGCAAAGTTTCGTGGCAATCGATTTGAACAATACTTACTTACATATTTTCGATAGACTTACATTTTACAAGCTTTTTTATATTCATTTAACATTTTAATATATTAATTATAGTTTACACTTATTAAAAATTATTGTCCATACTAACCTGAGTAGCGCCCCATCCAACCAAAGTACAAACTGAATTAGGCATTAATTCACTTCCTGGCCTAATTATCGTAGCTTGTCTTACTAAATTACCTAAATTGAACCTTTTTGCGACAACTACGACTGCTATATCATTTATATAATAGCGCTTGTCGAAACTCTTATGAGGTATTATAGATTTTACTTTATGTAATACACCACCTCGAGTTCGGTAAGTGGAACCAACTCGTATTCTCCAGTACTGAGGAATTGTATAACTGAAAGAAAGTTTAATGATAATACGTATATATGAAGATTAATCTTATTTCAAATGATCAGGACAAAGATCTGTAGCTCTAGTGTAGTTCAAAGTAGATACATTTTTTTTCTTAATCCTGTATAAGAAAATTCCGATTAACGTGTGTTCGTAATAGATACACCGTACTTCTTTATATCGGCTTAACCGATATTGATAAAAAAATTGTGTACTTATGTAGTCGCTTGGGTGATTCTTAGCTATAATTGGACTCGATAGGCTCTGTTGTGGATGTACAGTAAAAAGACAACGTCTGATTAGCGAGTAACAAAATTAACAAGCCCTATTGAAAAATAAAGTTAAAATAAGAAAATCGAATTAAGCCCAAAATCAATGTTGTCAGTTCGTGAGGCTTTTAGTTCCGACTCCTGAAAATCCCATAAAACCATCCTCCCATTAAGCTTAGCACTCGAAAAAGATGAAGAAACTGTAATGTAACCAACGTACATAATTTTAGGATGCTTGCAATAAAGCAGCATGAAATTTTAAAGAACTAGGTAGTTTTAATGGATTCTCTTCTTCTTTTTTGATTTGTTTCTCGTAAAATAAAAAGTTTCAGAACTGACACATTAACCAGACGTAAATAAACATTTTTTTTTATTAAATAGATACTAGCGATTCATCTTCGCTCCGCTCGAGTTTTTCCCTATTTACATCTTAACGTTTAGTATAGATTTCTCAGAAATAACATATTTTCCCGCACTAAAAAAAGACTATATAATACCCGGATAACTAGCTATCATCATACCAAATTTCATCAAAATCTGTCCAGTGGTTTTCTCGTGATGCGTTCCCAGACAAAAATTGTAAAAACAATAGATTCGGCCGTTATATAGATAATGATGATGTTCTCCTGACCGGTCACGGCGGCCAATCTCATTGAGACTAGCCAACTGCGCAGGAGATATTATAGTGCACAAGTGTGCGCGCAGACACAAGTGCACTCTCTATTCCTGTCACTCTTAAGCCTAGTTCGCATTAAGCTAGTATTTTAGTCTAGTAGCGAGTAATTTAGTAGCTAAATTACTCGCTACTCACCAAAAATCGTTCGCACTTTGGTAGAGTACAGTTTACAAGTGAGTGGTGTTTTGCAAGATGAACAGCCTACAACGCAATAAAGTAAATAAACTGATTAAGCTGATCGTAACGGCTATTTTAGAAGAGGTGGATGAGAAAATTTGTGGGATTAATAAAAAGAACCTATGGGTACGAAAATGGATCGAAAGATCATTTCTTAGCTCCAGCGAAACGACATTATGGCGGCAACTAATGAACTCGACTAATTCGACAGGTTCGTACTTGTTTAGCCAGTGAACCAGTGAGCTCGGACGCGTGGTGGGGGCTGCTACTCGCCCAAAAAAATAGAATAAAATGGATTGACTCGACTAAATTACTTACTAAACTAATCGACTAAATTTTTAGTGTTCAGACACGTTTAGTTACTAAATTACTCGCTACTAGACTAAAATACTAGCTTAATGCGAACTAGGCTTTATACTCTGGTGGGACGACCATTCGACACGACCAGTGAGAGTTAAGGCGCATGACCGACGGCTTTACGTGTTCTCCGAGGCACGGGGGTGAAACACCGGCAACTTCCCAACTCGGGGCTGTTACTGAGGCTTAATATACACATATTAAGCCTCAGTAACAGCCCGAGGCTTAATATACATATATACAGAAAGAATCAATAACTAAACTTGGCCCGACCCGGGACTCGAACCCAAGACCTCCGGGTGTGCAGCCGTACACGTTAGCCACTACACCACCGAATCAGGCATATCGATAATAATGACTATTTCAATAGGATTTTCCAAAAAATATTGAATGCACAGATTAGATTCAGTTAGAGGTTTATTATTGTATGTTGGTATAGACGTATCTTAAGACAGGTATCCTATCTGTTGTAAAAGTCAGCCAATTTAATTTAAAGTTAATGCACCACTTTTCAGCTTAAAATATGGCATTGACCTTGGCATTTTATTATATCAAAAAATTGGCCAAAGGAAAATTAATGAGTTTTTCTTTCACAGTTATGTTTTGATGGCATAGTTACTTACTTTCTTCCTGTATCCTGATTAAACTGGAAGCAATGAGCGCTTGAAATAACATGATGTGACGTGAGAATGACTCCTGCGCAATGTTGAATAAAGTCACGTGTTCCCCATACATCTAACAACATTTGAGCTAAAATGGGGTACTGATGTATTGACGTGGGTGATCCGTTAAGCACTCGATATTGGTATTGAGTGTTCACTGAAAATATTTTCTGTATTACAATTATGTACATATTATTAGCACAACAGAAGAGATAAATAATAAATATAATGGAGATGACGGGTTAGATTTATGCATAGATTTACCACACAAATGTTGGCAAAGCACACGTGTTGTTCACGTTAATAAATGAATGAGAAATCACTTAAAAGTAATTTATCGAAGTAGATGGACTTGGGACAACTTACTGGAGCATCATTATGTTATGCCTTTCGATAAATTTGCATACGTATGGAAGTATAACTAGGACAATTAGAAAATCCTATACTAGGTATACCAAGTCGCTTTAAATTAGGTGTCTGCTTAGAAGGTAATTATTTTTTAAAATTTTATTAATGAAATTAATTATATTTATTAATGAAAAACAAAAACAAATCTATTGCATGGGAACCGTACACTTTTCCGAGATAAAAAGTACACTATATGCTATTTCAGACCAGAATCTATCTTTGTGTCAAATTTTATCCAGACGCGTTCAGCCGTTCTGGCATGATTGAATAACAAACATCCAAACACGTAAACTTTCATATTTACAATATTTGTATAGATCTTAAGGCTTTATGATCATAGTGCCTAACAATTAATTCGTTACTCTAGGTCGTAGTCTATCTGTGTACTAAATTCTTATTTCTATACCTCATCCATCTAACGTTTCAGCGTTAAGGAGACACAAACTTTGCACACACATACACACACACACAGAGACACATAAACTCGTTCGAAGTTCGCATTTATTAGAGTAGTCCGATTTAATAAAAGGCAAAAGCTCACTCACCTTCTACAATGTATATTATGAATACAAAAATCCAAGATTGAGAATACATTTTTCTATACGTGTTTATTTATCACATCAAGTATAATTTCTTATTGTTTGCTCACATTACAAACGTTCTTTATACTTTAGAATCCAAATGCTATTTAACTTTCTTGAAGGCTACACATCAAATTTTCTAACTGTCTTGGGAAGTACAGTACTTATAGTAGGACTTTATAGTCTTGATCTTTTTAAATATAATATTAACCGGTTTCTGGCTGCTGCTTCGCCAACACTTGTAGCCAGCCTTCATAGTTTTACTTTTATTATCTCTGTTTTACATAGTAAAGAACCAAAACTTATTATTACAATCATCACAGGAACCAAAAATTTACATTTAAGTTATAGTAGTGGTAATATTTTTACTTTTATAGGAGTTAAAGTTTTTTAAGCTCCATCCATTAGAGAATTTAATACGACATTAAGGAAGATTTGAGAGATTTTATTTAATCACATATCACTGAAAAGGAAATGGACAAATTTCAATTAGATGGTAATAATTTGAATTATACTTATTTATATTTTTAATCAATAAAATTTGTTTAACACAAAATGTTGCTCGCTGCATAATTTATTTCTTATTATATTAAATATCATGAATGCCGGCTAATTTTATAGGTACATCTATTTACTTCCAAAAATGAATATAAAGGCGGTTTATATTTTTATTTCCTATATCTATATTGGTATCGCGTGACCACAGAGGCGATACAGCGCCAATACTCTGCAAATTTCTTGAAAATCAATAAAACTAATTAGATTTTTTTCGTTTTTTTTTCTCAAATATCTCCTGTTTTGAATACAAGTCGGTACGACTATAAAACATATAGTACCTACTCATTTTATATACAAAATAAACTATAGGTACATGAAAATGAAAAGCTTTGTAACAAGTTTAAAAATATATTTAATATGAAAAAAATGATCATTTCATAAATATAAAAACTAATTACTATGGATTATTGATCTGAAATAAATACTTATTATTATTATTATTGAAAAAATATTAAATTATTATCTGTTTAAAAGTATCAAAAATGATTAGGTGAAATACATAACTCAAGTAAAATGGGCTTAGAAATGATCTATATATAATTTCCAGTTATAAAAACATCAATCATCTTTAGTTTCTTTGAGTAAAACGCAGACGATTATATATCAGTGATAATAATTACAAAAGGTTGGGTAATTGTTGATTTCGTTGAATTGTTAAATTGTAATTTTGTTTATTTTTTTTTAATCATAATTAAAGTTTTCTATATAAACTGTAAGTGGCCACGCTAATGTAACTTTTTGTAATACTTGGACCGTTGACGACACGTTTGGCTCAGTTTGTAGTGACCCTACTTGCTGTGCCAGCGGTCGCGGGTTCGAGTCCCGCTGGAAGCATTAATTTGTGTGATGAGTACGAATGTGTGAATGATGAATATACGCCATGAACGTATAAATGTAACAAAAACACATTTAATGACTCGCAACCACTTTTGCGGCCACTTTTACATAGGCAGATGTAGTTTATCAGGTACAGAAAAAAATTAGGTTCTATTTGATATATAAATGATGCATGTACGCTATGAACGCATAAACATACCAAAATATGACCCGCTTATACCTGGCTGCGAAGAGGTTGCGGCCAAATGCGCAACGGCAGCTATCATTTTTCAAGATCTCTACGTATAGTTCTGTAAAGTGGAGTTTAATTCATTGTAATAACAAATGCATCGTTTTTATTCCAAAAAGTCAACTATTATTTAGTTAATACATACTAGCGGGCACATTTGAATAGGCACCCCGGTCAAAACATATTGTCCCTTTTATTATTGTATATAAAAATTGATTTCGATTAAATACGCTATGAACATCTTGCAGTGGGATCTCGATCCAATACATACCTAATCAAATATTTTCGAAGTCGGTGTGCTTTGCTTTGTATGGGCTGGCACCGATTTCGAAAATATTTGATTAGGTATGTATTTAGTAGGAAGGCTTTAATTACTTAGCCAAAGCACACCGACTTCGAAAATATTTGATTAGGTATGTATAGTAAATGAAAACTACCAATAAGTTATTATTTACTTTTTAGTGCTTTTGTTTGAAGTCGGTTTTTATTTTTTTGTTAAAAAGTTTTTATTTTTCCCTTTTTAGTGTAGACAGTAGTAGCAAAGTAAGAATTCTAACGTGTTAGGCTTGTCAAATCAAACAAAATAAGCCCAAACTCAAAGTATCTACTATTAGCCGTTGAAGAGTTCCACCTATCCACCTTCTGGCCTTACCATCAGATCAGGTCAGGAAACACTTGCAAAGTTTCAAGTCAATATGACAATTAGAAGTAGGTTAAATTCATCATTAGCTATTTTTCCACCCTTAGGGGTGGTATTTTTTTTTGAAATTTATATGGGACTAATCTGGAAGTATACACTTTCAAACAACATAAAAATTGTCCAAATCAGTTAATAAATGACGGAATTCTGAGGTACAAACATAAAAAAAAATACAGTCGAATTGAGAACCAATGGTAATTGAAGAATTCTAATATGCCATTTTTGCACAAAGGTACCTCGTGGAGAAAAAGGTGGATAAGTAGATTATATCTACTGCAGTTGCTTCCTCGTACACCTATCAACCCCTATTGGTTGATGTAACATGCCCTTTTGTTTAAGCTTAATATTTAAACAAAATCGAACTATAGGTACTTGTATTGACTAATTTATTTTCCTATTTAATTTATTTTATATTTAAAATTAATTTCATCCACTTATACTAAGTAATACCTATTAAGTGAAGATATTTTTTTGTTGTTTTATATAACAATTTTGTTGTATTATATAAAATTTATTGTATTATATAGCCGATTTATTATTACTATCTAATAATAAGTCACCTAGCATCACTTTACGACCCTTAGGAGCAAAGCAAACTGTGTAGAGGAGTGAAGTCACGGGACAGAGGCTAACAGTGAAAAATGTCAGCCCTTTTTTAACGTCCCACTGCTGGGCACGGGCCGCCTTTTACAAAAGGACATCAGACATACAGGTATTCTCACGATGTTTTCCTTCACCATAAGACAATTGGTGAAATAAATGATGATGATGATGGAATTGATTCGCACATGAAAATATCAGAGGTGCGACACCCGGGATTTGAACCCTCTTAACTCAGTTTCCCAACCAAGCGCGTTACCACTGGGTTACCAAGAGCAGTAGGTGTACGTACCTAATAAAAAATAAATTTCTTTTTAAATATCTTTTTTATTTAATCGACTTATAAGAAAAGTAGAGAGTATAAATAGTGTTACATTTCTTGGTAATAAGTATTTAAGAAGGCAGTCCGGTGCAATTACTCATGTTTTTTCCGTTCGAGGCTGTAATGATACGCCAGCATGATTAATTGTTTGCAGAGACCAATTAAATAGATCTGTCTCTTGGTTTAAATACTAGTAATTTTCTTTGGGTTCGTTCACGTTTTATTGAAATTTAATTAATTTTATTGAAAGTTAAATTTGAATGTACTTACTCAAAATATATGCATAAGTTATGTACATATTTTATACATGGCTCTGCCAAGGCCACGGCTATATAGACCTATGATGATGATATTCTCCTGACCAATCGGGCCACGGCGGCCAATCTCATTGAGACTAGCCAACTGCGCAGAAGATATTATAGTGCACAAGTGTACGCGCCCACACAAGTGCACTATCTATTTCTGTCACTCTCATACTCCGGTGGGACGACTGCTCGACACGACCAGTGAGGTTTTCCGTGCTCTCCGAGGCACGGGGATGAAACACCACCGACTTCCCAACTCCGGGCTGATACTGAGACTTACTATACAGAAAGACTCAATAACTAAACTTGGCCCGTCCCGGGACTCGAACCCAGGACTTCCGAGAGTGCAGCCGTACATGCTAGCCAATACACTACCGAGGCAGTAGCAGATAGACCCATACAAGAGCTCCTAAGGTATAATTAATAACAAATTTTCATAAATATTATTATATGTTTTCGATAGGCATACACAGGTAACAGACAAATTAATAACAAAACAATAAATAAAACTTAGCGATATCGTAGTGTGATGTACATACATATGTATTTTATTTACAAAAACAAAATTACTTATATGTAAAGTATAAAATTGTATCCTACTTGTAAAGGGTGATTTGGATATTAATACTATATTATAGTTACTTAATGCTTTACTTCTTACACCATCAGCCAGAAAACCCCGCTGCAATATACTTAAATATTTTTTTTTTAAGATAAATTAAATTATTCATATATTTTTAAAAGATTAACTTTCTAAAATATTCGTGTATTGTTAGTAAGTAATATGATTTCTGTATATTTGCACTGAAAAACTACTTAAAGTTCTTTTTTATTTCACTATTCATGCAGGTAATAAGTATTTTTACTTTTCTGCATCTTTGTTCTCTCTCTGTGTCTAATTGTGAAATGAAGTTTGTACCTTCATAATGTGTAGTAGGTATACATTTTCCTAAACTAAACGTACCTACCTACTCTAAACAATATACCCAAAAAAATTTAAAAGCTTCTTTAATTCATTAATCGTGAGACAGTCGGAAAATATAAATGGAGACGTAACTAATAGGTACATAGATAATAATAATAAATAAATACGTTGAGATATTAACACACAGCACCATCTAGTTCCATGGTAAGCTACAAGGCTTGTGTTATGGATACCAGATAATTTATATAAAACACATATAGGTATAACATTAATAACATACATGTTATAAATATAAACACCCACGACTGGAGTACAAACATTCGTGCTCATCACACAAATGAATGCCCCCAGCGGGATTCGAACCCGCGACGGGTACAACAAGTAGGGTAAGCCTAATATTAAATTAAATTGAATATGATTCAAAAATTCTTGTAGAGTAAGCTGGAATATAATAAGTGATCAAGTTAAAATGTTATAGAATAAATTACGATTGTTATTTACAACGGTTTTGATCCCATTTCGATTTTTTTTTGTTATTACATAATTTTGTATTATACCAGATAATTGGTAAGCAAATACCAGCCAAGCTGGGAAAAGTGTTGAAAAATATATTTTTGACTAGCGAAGCAATTATTAGCCCTCATCGTTTAATTCCGTTCCGTTTTCTATGGCGATAAAACTTTAATTATGTTCTCGTAACACTCGAGTGCATCTTCTTATTCCAGGATAAAGAGTAACATATTTCACGTCGGATCATATCTCTCCAGACAGGATACGGATAGACCCGAAAGTCTCTTTAAAATCAATTAAGCCGTTTTTCTTCTGTCCTTTATCGCGCCGGAACTTTTTTTGTTTTCTCTAGATAAAATTAACTTCAGTGCGTCTAATAAAAATATATAAAGAGGTAGAAATACAAAAAAAACATATAAGCTGAATATATGGAGTTATACTGTATTCGCCAAGAACGAACAACTAACGAATGAACCAAGCACTAAGATTTTGCGCTTCGACGTGATTAGTTGCAGACATGAACGAATTAGCCACTTCATTCATGGTTGCATAATAGACGCTTAGGCCGCGATCACATTGTCATAATTAGTCCGTCGTTGCATTCCGTACCGTTCAGTTATCAATGTAGGAGATGACAGTGATACGTCGGTAAGCGAAAATTAATAAATAATGTATATACAAATACATATTAGTTAGTTTTACTTTAAGGTTGATTTTATTTTATTAAAAATTATTAATAATTACTCACTAAAGCATTAGCAACATGAACGAGCCCTATGATTTCAAACCGTTTGCCAGTGTTAGTGGGCGGAGACAGATAGTTTTCTGTCCCTATCAGTTTGTATGCAAATGTGGGACAGAGAAAGCGCTTTGCATGGTTCACTCAGTGAATAGAGTACAGGTGTTTGAAATTACTGATAGAGTACATCAATGTACTAAACATTGTATGTTGGAGAAAATAAAAAACCATAAATAAAACAAATCTAATATATTATGATATCATAACATAAGTTCAAAACAAAATATACACATTTTAACATAAATTATCTAATAATGCCTTTATTTCGAATCGCTGCCTGTATCTGACTATCAATACTTGTGTAATACTTCATACGAGATAACAAATGTGTAACTTTTTTTAGATCTCCATCAAAGAATGCAATGGATAACTGCTTTTGCAAACTGTTTATAACATTTTTATTTTCCTTATTTAGTCTCATGATTTCTTCTTCAGTGTCTGCATTTTCCACTTCTTCATTTTTTTCCATTATTTTCATGAGGAATTCGTGATCAATTTGCGTATTCTCTGATATTTCTTTACCTCTTAGTTTAAGCATGTATATTCCTGTAATGAAATAATAAAAATTGAACTTTATATAAATATATACAGGGTGGAACAAATCGATGGGACATGGAAGAAAAGTAGCTTAAATATTGAAGTTATCAAGATTTATTCAAAGAAAACATTCCTTTATTTTAAAAATAATAAGAACTGTATTTTTTTTTTTAAAAAAAGCTTACCTGAACCATGAATCGAACGGAACGAAAATACAAATAAATAAATATATTGTAAAAATAAAAAAAACTGACATACATATTTCATCTTTGCCGCAAGTTGTACATACATAGGTACTTGTGTGTATGTCTCCGACTGCATATTACTATATTCCATCGTGAACTTGTTTTCACCTTTTTAGTTAGCTGTAATACAGTCTGGTTTTTTATTTTTATAATATATTTATTTATTTACAGCTTTTTAAGTATTTTTAAGTAGGAAAATTAGCGAGAATGTTTGTTAACCAACTTTAAATCATTGTATATCCTAAACTGTTTTTTAAAAAGAAAAATGCTGAAAGAAACCTAAAAATGATTTTTAAATACTTATACAACAATACCTTACTTGACATAGTTCGTCGATTTTCATATTTTTCTTTTTCACATTATGGAATCTAGCAGCCCCCATATTTAACTTTTTTATGTCACCTAAGAACACTTGGACTAATGAGACGAATCTAACAGTACCTTAATTAAAGAAATCTATTGAGTGGCTTGGAAGATATGAGGGAATAAAGAGTATTACAAACAAACATACATAGACAGGCACGAAAAACATAACCCTTTCCTTGCACTCTGTAAATAAGACACCGTCACTATTTTATCGAATTAATTGATAGGGTCTATGGGAAGGATAAAATCTTTCGAAAAAACATTGCATCTTAGAATTGAAGAAAACAATCAAATCTTATGAATCGACATACATATCGACTCTAACATTGTGAAACAAAAAAAAAAGTGTCTTAAACACTGAAAATTGTGCTATTTGTAAGATTTCATTATGTTCAATTATATTTTTATAAGATAGTCTGTAATTATACCTCTTGCAAGTGGCTCTAACAGAGTTTTGTATGCATTATTTACTAAAGATGAATATTCTGCTGATATTTCTTGCTCTTCTTTTCTCCTGTAATGTAAGGTATTTATTTTTTAGATTTTGGAATCAAATTGTGTCTAGGAGGTGGACTTCTTATAATAAAATTCCTTTTTTTTTTAAATTAGCTAACAATATATAAAAAATCAAATGATAATTTTAAACCCATTTAAAATAGTATAATTAGTTTTAAACTTGATTATTTATATACATTTTCAGTAAAATATAAAAAATATATATTCTAATCATGTTATATTTAATTTAACATTTTATTTTAGTATTAAATCTTTAAAACATTCATTTCACCCTACCTGTTCGCATATTTATCTGGATGCAAATGTTTTTGCAATTCTTTATATTTTTTTGCTAATTCATCTTCATTTAAATCATATGTTTCTTTAACACCAAGAACTTTAAAATAATTTTCGTATTTTTCTGGTTTCTGTAAAGCTTTGCAGTTAGAACAGAATAGGTTAGATGTTGGGTTAGAATGAGTTCCGCATGACCAACATGAGATGTTCCTTATTTGAAATAAGATATTGGATTTTCTTGTGAGATTCAAAAGATATCTTTCAAGTATCATTTTGTATCATTCTATAGTTAATCTAATATGTATTAGCAAGTTATAGTATGATTAGGTTATTTATATATTTAAACTTTGGGTAACTTCATAACGAAAAATAAATATCAATACACAATTTTGTGCTATGCATAATATAAAACCGAATTACAATTATTCATCAACTTTATTTCTTTTTTGCGCGTTTCCTACAAGAAATTACACAACAATCAACAAAATGTTAAATCGATTGTCGATGTCAAACTTCAAAAGTTCAAAGTCAAAATCAGCTGACTGATAAAATTATAAATAGTGCGTTCAGTTTGCTAATCAAGCCCTTTAAATAATTTTGTACGTCAATTTTGTTTTTTCGATATGAGGTGCTATTAAAAATGTTTGAATTTTTTCAAATATTTTACTCTATTTTTATTCTTTTTTCACCTACAATTTATTAAATGGGGGTTACCTACTGCGCTTGAATTTGCCATGACAGGCGCTAGTGTAGAGTGAGGTCTTTCTCTTTGCTTATTATTGTAGATCTTCATTAATTATTCATGATTATGGTATCTAAAAATTGTGTCATTTCTAATAGATTATGGCAGACACGGTACGGTTTAACAAATGTTATAGCTAAAAGAAGAGCTAAGGAATGGTTAATATTTTATCTATCTGATTATTAAATATTAATTATGTTAAACAAAATCCTGACAAACTGGTGCCGCACTAACTATTACTATTTATTATATTCAATTTTTGGCCCTGACGCATTATCAAGTACAGAATACTTTTTAAACGACAGCGTGGTGATAAGACCTTACTCGTCAGTGGCGCCATCTGGTGGAACCAACTACCAGAAATGATAGTCTTAATTGACGTTTGTGATTGTCTATGGTTATCATTTTGACATAGGGATAGGCAAGAAAAATATCGATATTTATCGTATCGACATTTTTAAACAGGATCGATAATTATCAAGTGAAAAATATCGATATATCGTCAGTTTTCGCATGATTGTTTATATTCTCAAAGCATTAAAAGATCATAAAAAAATAATAGAAATTAAGAAAATAGTATTTTTTATTAATACCTAAGTCCTAGTCCTAACACAAATATTTGACTAATAGCAAGCGTATGGAGAGTTTTAAAAATTGTATTTGGCTCCATACCTACTTTGTGTAATGCAATTACAGCGATTGGGTTCTCTTTTTCACCCCACTATTTAATTAATATCAGAAAATATTTTACAATGTATTGGCGTGAAAATGAAAAAAACACAATGAACAATCATTTAAAAATGACAGATTCCAAATTCCAATGTAATACTTTTTTATTTTTTATTGTAACAGTATTTATGGCCAGACTATGTATAATACTTCTCATGATTCTGAAGTTAACCAACGTCTAAAAATTTTTCAAAATTTTTCAAAATGATGAATTATAAAAAAATATTAAAAAAAAGAACTTATAGATTTTTTATTTTCTACATGTGCATATTTTTTTTTTGTAATAAATTTGTTGAAAAAAATCCGATAATTGTTAATTATCTGTTAACTTCAAGGTCATATACGTCTCACAATGATTGTACTGATTTAATAGTATTAGTATTTTCGTGCATACAGTTAATAGTTTTACTGTTATATTGACTTGTTGTTGAGATTAAAAATATCGATAATTGTATGGAAAAATATCGATATTTTAATATATCGATATTTTTTGCCTAAGCCTATTTTGACAATTCGATTATTATTCTCTGTGAACAGAACAACAACAATTATATTATTATTGTTTTTTATTTAAATAAAGAACTTCAGTCAATTAATACAATGAAAAAGGTTTCTTAGTGAATTAAAACAATATATTAATCATAATGGTTTCATATTTTACTTTTGACATCACCGGTGAAGGAACCAACTTTCAAAAAGAAATATCTAACATGATGCACGGGTTCGGAGACAATCCTAATCCTAATGCTGCAACAATAGTGCTGGTGGAAAACATCGTCTTGCAACAATTAAGATGGATGTTACAAGAAGCTTTTAATTATTCGATTATGAGAGGCGCAAAATCAATAACAAATTATGATATTATATACTTGATTAGAAAAAATCCTGTGAAACTGAAACGACTTCATGACTATCAAATTAAATTAGATCGAATTGACAAAAACCGACAATCCACAATCGGTACACCAACAGAAACTATTTTACCAGGTATTATTTTGGATGATGATAAAGATATTACTATGAAGAAAAAACGTACACATATTGATATTATAAAAGAAATTGATGAAACAGATGAAGTAAGTCAGATCAAGTTTGATGCTATTGATTACTTAAGAAAAGTTCGTGCAGCTAAAATTACTGAATCAATGTCATTTGAAAAGTATGAGGCATATCATAAAGCTCGTTGTGTTTCATTTAGATCAGGATATGGTCTCAGCAAAGGATTTATAAAATTAGAAAAGTGGATTAATCCAAATAAAGAGCTAAAAATCAGTCAGCAAGCTTTAGAAGTTTTATGTTTTTTAGCCTACGAGACTGTTGCTGAGATAGTTGATGCTGTTTTTTTGATTCGCCAAGATAGTAAGAAGAAAAGTGGAGATCCTTTTAGTAAATTTGAAGGTGGACATTTCTGTAATCCACAGAGCTTAAATAATTCTGTTTACATAAAAACCGGCTATGAAGGTGTTCCAGCAATAACTGTTGCAGAAGTAAGAGAGGTATTAAGAAGGTATTTCAAACCTACAATTGGTATGAATGGTTTGTTTTACAGAAATATGTGTATGGATTTACCAATAAGATTTATTGCAATATAATAAATATAGATTTAAAATTACAATTGTATTTTTATTTTGTATTTTACCATCTAGATTTAGTATGAATTAATTTATAATTAAAATTGTAATTACGACATAGACTTATATTCGTTTTAGTAGGAACTAGTATATAAATGGAAAATTTATGATTAAAGTTTAATTAAACATATTTTGCTCTTCAAGGAAAAATCGCTTTTGAAAGTTATTATTGTAACATCTGTATATTAATAAATATCCTCAGAATTAAAATATTAAAAAGATACAATAAGAATGTATACAATAAGAATGTATGTAAATATTATGTAAGGAAAAGTAATTTCATTTGGTTAAAATGACACTCATAATAAAAAATATATATATTAGGGATTGACATTGATAAGTTTTTCCAGAGTAAAATTATATTATCTCATTTCCAGGTTCAACACAAACTGGTATATTTATTAAAGTAATAGATGTAACTCTATTGAATTGCAATAATTGTTGTATGTCCCATAAATTTGGCTTGTCAGTGTATATGTCTATTTGTCTTCATAGCTTAGTGTTGTTACTTAAAAAGTAGTTTAATCAATATTTTTTTGTAGTACCTATTTCATAAGTTTTATTTTTCAAATTGGTAATTTTAAAGGCATGCTAATCATAGATGCTAATAACTAAGTTAATGATTATAAAAAATCATTTTAGATTTTTTTTGAAGTTCTTAATCTCCCTAATAACAATAAAACTTTCTAAAAAAAATCAATCTCACGATGGTAATTTTCAAAATGTGAAAATTTTTCATCAGATTACTAAGATTTTAAAACAGAAATATGTTATTTTCAATTCATGCATGCATTTACGAGTTTTTATTTGATATTATAATGATGAAATATGTATGATATATGAAAATATTGAGATATATAGTTAATTTACATTTAGCAAAAAATGTTAAACCATTATTTGATTTTATTATCTGTGACAGTGTGAATAGTTTTCAGTATTTTTGGCGGGTAGTCACAAAATACCACGAAGTTCGATAGTGTGAATACGATCTGTAACTCTATAAACGTGTTTAGGTTTTCATGTTTTTTGTTCTTTTTCAAAGCTGTTATTTTTCTCATATTATTTTCTAGTACTTTTTAGTTTTTGTTAATTTTCTTAAAAGTTCATTTCTAGTTTTTTGTTTTAAAAGTATTACTATAGTTTTAAGTCAGTGTTCTTAGTGTTTTAAGTGTACTCATGCAGTTTTTAAACGTAAGTGGACTATTTCTTTAATCAAAGTGTATTATTTATTTTCGATTAAGTGACACTGTGACAGTCCGTCTTGGATAACGTAGGTTGAGATAATAATGTATGAAAATGTTATAACTACAAGTCTCAATAATTTTTGACTCTTTCGTTTCCTCAAAATAAATTTTATATATTTGGATGCCATATCGCCTCCCCTATTCAAAAATATTACCCACTCCTCCAGGGGCCGCATCCCATATACTAAACTGCAGCCTTAGAAACAAAAAATAAAACTTATTAAATTATAACTACTCATTACTTTATTGCATAAATTGTGTAAATTAAGTGAAGTGAGTGAGTGATTATAGGTATTAAAGTACCTAAGTTTCATTATGTAAATTATACATAAATAAAATTTTAATTTTAGTTAAGACAACGGAACAAGTTACTAGGTCAATGGACAATCTGATTGCATTATTGTTACGAAAGCTTTTAGTATAAGTTTTGTCTTTATAGTTAAAATAATGCTGGAGGCACACTGAATTAACTTAATTTGTTATTTGAATGTTGTTCGAGATTATTGAGTATAACTTACTGCTCATAAAATTAATACGATAGAAACATTAGCATTCAACCGCATAAGATTTAAATCAGCACGGATATACTATACATATAATACCTATGTCCTTCTGACCGATTTCAGCCACGGCGGTCAATTTCACGTAGACTAGATAATATTATTTTATATTATATGATTAGATGATAATATTATTAGATAATATATTAGTGTACAAATGCATGCGCAGCACAATTGCACTCTTTTTTGCTGTCATTCGCAAGTCCGTCCGAGACGCTAATATCTTAACAGAAAAACTCAGTGATTAAACATGACCCGACCCGGGAGTCGAACCCAGGACCGCCGTATCTTCAGCCGTACATGCTAGCTACTATAATTTCTAAACAACGATAAACTTATAACTTATTAAAAATATATTTAACTAAAAAGGACCAGTGGCAGTGAGTACCTACACATAGTAAGTCTGTTCAACAATTACTAAACAGAATAAGCTCCTTCGCAAACAGGGGTATCAAATTGTTGCAGAATATGGGTTGCATTCATTAATTTCATATGAAGAAAATTTTGAACCGACTTCCAAAAAGGAGGAAGTTCTATGTTCATCTGTATGTATTTATTTTGAAATCAAAATTATTGTAATTTCAATTCTACAAATCAAAAGTTAATAGTTATTTCTTTTATACTAAACTGTGTGAACATAAACTATTTAATGTTTAATTCCTATTATTTTTTTTTAAATATATGAGATTGTCTCCGTCACCTAACTACGTAGTAAGTAAATAGTATGTACTCTTACCCACCCAATTTTATTTTTACCGTTCAGTGGTTTCGGAAACAATACAATGTAACAAACAGGCAAACACACACGTGAATGATCCTATTAATATAAAAATAATAAGGGTTCTGCTATTTCCGTTTGAGCTAAAAAACCCTACTTTTGCCCGCACGTTGACTACATCTGTCCTACACACTGGAGCATTGACTAGACTTCACAACTCACTCGGCTCTAGCGTTTGAGAGCACTGCCTGCAAATTTAATTTTCCCGCCTGAGTTATGACCTGCGATATTGCAGTCCTGTTGCCTGCCTTGAAATAATAAAATAGCTTTGTTTATTTACATGTGTATGCAATATATTTTTAGATTTGTCCTCATAGATCTTCTAAATGATTGGTGCAGAAAGTCGTTGAGATGTTTATTGCTTACGGTTTGGTTTAGGCCTTCTATAAAGAGAAAAGATTACTTTTATGATTATTTTTTGTAAAAAGATATAGATTTGATATGTTTAGAGTAGATAATTAGAATAAGATATTACAATTTAAAGATAAATACAACACTCATAAAAAATCAGACACATAGTAGGTACAAGTGAAACTTTCTCGTTATCGCCCTTTCTATTCGTAAACTGTATCCCTACAAAAACATTTGCATGTTAAATGTTGCCAAGATGACCATATGGCTTGCACTGTAAAAAAGTTATCAGATCTCATGTAGAGCCAAGCTTCTAGTTCTACACGCCCTAACTCTACAAACCCTAACTTCACAAACTCTACATCTTAGTCTAAATATGTGATGTTAAGTACAAGAACTATTGTATAACAGAAAAGTAATGAACAATGTACGAATTTTTCACCTTACGCCCATGTGACGGTAGCGAAACTATGTATAGAATATATGAAGATAATTAGATATCTATAGATTAGCGATTGAGCTCGAACTAGATTCTGAAAATGAGAGATTTTACTCCACTTAATTGTTAAATATGATAATTATTAACCCAGCTACTAATAGTTTTGTGTAAAAGGTAAATCATTGAAATATTTATATAGGTAATATATTATGAAGGAAAACTTGGCTAAATCAGTTATTGTGTTTTCCCGTAGGACTGAGAGTTGTTCCTGCAGTAAAAGGTATGCTAGATATTGTCCCGAGTAATAAGTTATTACTACAAAAAATTTAGTTAAAATTCGTTCAGTACTTTTACGTGAAAAGCAAACAGATATATAAACAAACATACATATAGACAAACAGATAAAAAAATAAACAAGTATGGTTTTGGGGTCTGTACCTCGTACTTACACAATACGTAACAGTAATTATCTATACATATAATAAAATTGTATCAAAGTCGAATCTGTACATTAAATAGTTTGAGGAAAATCTAATTGAAATAGACATTATTATCGCTACAGAGTCCGAATCTATAGTTTTTAGAATTTTTGTCTGTCTGTCTGCCTGTCTGTCTGTCTGTTACCGCATCACGAGAAAACCACTGGACAGATTTTGGTGAAATTTGGTATGATGATAGCTGGTTATCCGGGTCAACATACTTTTTACCGCGGGAAAATATCTCATTTTTGAGAAAAAATACAAAAACTCCATTGTAAGAGAATAACTAATACGTAAAGCCTAAGAATTTGGTTTTTGGTCATCTGAACGCGGGCGGAGCCGCGGGCAATGCTAGTTTAAAAAATATATTTCATATAGGTACAAATTTCGCTTGTTTACTGTTTTGTTATATTATGCATGTACCCATATTTAGATTAGATATATTATAATATTAAGAGAAAAATATATTACATTCATAAAATGCCCTATTAAACAGACAAACAAGATTATTATAATTTGTATACATACTTTAAAAAGGAGACAAATAAAATAAAGCTTTTGTAAGTACTTACAGCATTACAGGGTAAAAAATAATTAACCACTCTTTTGTCCTTGTTCACCCCCAAGGACCTTATTTTATTTACATATAAACATTGTCATCATTATGGAAATAAAATATGAATGTCTGAAGAAAATGTTACCAGAAAACTTTCACTAACTTATAACGTAATTTGTGTATAGAGTTTAATTAGGTTATTTGTTATAAATATATGTATTTATGTATCTAACTTAGTGGTTAGCCATATCCACACTAATATTATAAATGTGAAAGTCTTTGTTTGTTTCTTTATTTGTTTGTCCATCTTTTACGTCGAAACATACGTCAATCTAGTTGGCGGGCTAAAGAGTGACATAGTCTACTTTTTACCTTGGGAGATTAAGTCATTCCCACGGGAAAACACGTTATAATTCAACCCAAAAATAATTTATGATCAGAATTACTTAAAACTTGGTATTAATGCTCTGCAATACAATTAAAATGAATACGTGAATTAGCAGTTTTTGAAATTCATCACAAAAGACGATAAAATAGGGGACGAAAGATTG